TGACTGGGACCGCAGAGGATCGATAATTGGTGGGCTCATACTCATATATGTATGCTATAATCCATAGAAAACAATGGATTTCAAAGGAACTTGATAGGGCACATTATGCACATATGAATATCAGCCCCCCCCCTCCCCTTCACCCAATTATCGATCATTTGCGGTCGTTGAATTATGAAATGAAGTGTTTTAAACCCTCTCACTGCACTTTTCATGTATGAACTGATCACGTGGAACCGTAAAGAGGTTGTTCGCGATTTCTTGGTCAGCTACTAAAGTTAGAACTTTCAAATTTGATCATCATTTATATGTTCTGTAATCAAAGGGTTCAAGCTCAAAATTTGCGCACTGCTTCATCCCGCGGGAGTGTGATTGCGCGCGCACGATCTTTCGTCATCCTTGCATTTCGTTGTTCACCACGTATTGTTTTTAAGACTTTTTCACATTGTTGTCAATCGTGCACTGCTACATCCCGCGGGAAGTGTGATTGCGCGCGCACGATCTTTCGTCATCTTAGCATTTCTCTAAGTCGTTGTTCACCACGTATTGTTTTTAAGACTTTTTCACATTGTTGTCAATCGTCAAAAGGGATAAACATTAAACGCTCATCCTCATGAACAACGAGGGAAGGTCATGAAAACAGACCATTGTTAATGGGCTTTAATAAACCGCTCTTCCTGTAGTGTTTTTTTTTTACGAAACATTTATTTACCGTCAATAGTGTTGTTCCCAAGTCTGATATTTTCGAGCGTGACGAATTGCTTTCCCGGATGACGTTTTAGCTTATGCTAATTTAAAATTTACACTTTTCATTAGAAAAAGCGATTGTGGTGCCATACAGACTTACTGTAGAATACCAAGTTAATCAATTTTGTATATGTCATTGGTTTGGCAATTCTGATGAAAGTTTTAATTCGTTATGACAATACCCATAGGTCTTCTTATCAATGGCAGAAGCCTTTTTCTTTGATTTTTTAAGACTCTAATTCGGATCGTTTCCTGTGCTAGAGCCCTACGATCTATCTATCTATTGATTATCTATTGTCCTTTACCACCTAATGTGTCATTTTTCCTATCTCTTATATTCATTCGTTGTCATTTTGCGTTCCAGCTTTGGTTGACTTTTCTGATGAAGAAGGTTACGGCAAGTACTTGGATCTTCACGAACCTTATGATAAATATATGAACATCAAGGGAATCGAGGTAATTCAACTACGTTAATGTCAGACTGAAGAGTGAAGGCGATTATCACTTCAGGGATCGAAAGATCTCATGATGTTCGGTGAACTTCATTTGAATTTTGTCAAAGTTGGTTTCGGAGCAGTCACCAATACACATAGTTGAGACTACAGACTTAAGCGTTTGACGTTCGTAGCGAAGAAAGCATTGCCATGCATCTCATGCCTGTCTTACTTTAGTTCTCTCGTGGAAATCTTCGTATGCTATATTGGCCAAACACAAATAAAATTGACATGTTGATTTGATGAAATGAACAACCTAATTAGGACACTTTGGCGTTCGAGAACTTTCACTATTTTCTTTGTGTTGTCTAGAGAATAGACTATCTTGCGTATTTGGAAACATTCGACCGCTTGTTCGACATTCCCAAAGAGAAGAAAACACACGAATACAAAAGGTGAAACTGAAATTTTGTTTCCATAGAAGCTAAGGCGATAGTCTAAATTCACCACAACATGGTTGCTATGAGTTCGCGTTTGCTATAAAGACTACTTCCGGGTACTTTTTCTTGATAGAGTTCAACATATAACTCAGATTTTTCTAGTCAAGTTGCAAATTATATAAAGATTCCGAGTTTATTTTGTCGTAATTTTCTGTCAATGCCCATTCCTTGAACAAGCACTACATATCTTATCTATATTTAATTTTCGCTTTATCACTTTAAGGTCTCCTTTACGCGAGTTTTGCTTCGATGCAGTAACTTTGTATTAAATAAGGTTTTCCTAAATCCGTCAGTCTGATTGGGTCCTCGATCACTTATTTAATTATGCCCACTGGATTGCGCTGATCCTCTTTTCCTAACTTTAGATACATCATCGTTCTCCTTGATTACCTTTACTACTATTGTCAACGTGTCCAACCGCTGGTCGATCTTGATAAGGTAAGCCGACATCATTGGTTTCACGTGCCTTTGACGTAGAAACTTTCATTGTTTTAATAAAGGATCTTCTAAAACTGAAATGGACTTTCTTCGCAACATTTCTTTTCGCATGCTTACTTTCAAAACGATTGAAGCTTTTTTTGATGAGTAAAGTAGATAAGCAGTTGTCCACCGTCCATGTATTCTCCCAACTAATGTATTCCTGCTAATGTTAAACAAATTGGCCGTACATCATGTATGTGATTAACTTCATTAGCAATCAAAACTTTGTCATAAAACACAGGCGAGTTTGTTGCGTAACAACGAAAATACACGTGATTTTTATCTTTTGTAATGGGCTGATCGCATGAGCCCGGTAGCCGGGATTCAGCCAAGCGTTAAATGATTTTGGCAAATGAACACGATTCAATACTTACCATCAGATAAATCTTCTCAAGCAATTTCGCAATATTCTGTATTAATGACTTCTCAAAACATTTAAAATTGAAACAATCAATTTGCCCTGATTTCAAATTTTGAGAATTACAACTGGAGTGACGTGTAGTGGCTTCGCAAACGTAATTTTTAACCTTGAAGTTTTGGCTCCTTTCAATCGCTTGAAATCATCGGGCTAGCTCGCTATCCGGGCCAGCCATTGAAATAAAATACATGGAACACTGCCTTAATAGAAAAGTCTAATAAAATCTTGAAGCCAAATTTTACACCCAGACACGCGAGATTACACCCAGACGCGCGTGTGTAGTTAATCAATTTCCAGAATCTCGAAACACTACACGCATGTCTGAGTGTAATGTCGCGTGGGTGTAATATTAGCTTCAATTATTTGCTTCAGATAGCGTTTCATGTATTTTAGTTCAATGGAGCCAGCTCGCCTCCATATAATCAGGCCCTAAATCAGAAAACGACCATAAGTTAGCTACGTAATTTACATATCACAAAAAATCCAACAGTTCCAGACGTTTCGTTTTAGGAAATGGAGGAAACCCAAGAAGAATTTGATAGAAACTGGGCGCAAGGATGATTTCCAGGATGGCCCGTGAGTGAAGGGGGATATTTAGGCCGTGCATCGAAGATTTGCTTTGTATCGCGCGTGTATGTATGATTTGTTTTTGGTTTGATTATTTATAGAAAGATACCGGAAGTGCTTTGGCGCAATCTGGGGCACATCTTGATCTGTGTGGTTTCTCATCTGCTGAGGTTAGTAAATGTATGACACTAGCAAAAGACATGTGAGGGTACGCATGCATGATATAACAATAAACAGTACTAGTATGGATACGCATTATATAAGGATAAGCACTATACTAGTAAGGGTACGCATGTTATAACGATAAACACAATACTAGTAAGGGTACGCATGATATAAGGATGAACACAATACTAGTAAGGGTACGCATGATATAAGGATGAACACAATACTAGTAAGGGTACGCATGATATAGGGATGAACACAATACTAGTAAGGGTACGCATGATATAAGGATGAACACAATACTAGTAAGGGTACGCATGATATAAGGATGAACACAATACTAGTAAGGGTACGCATGATATAAGGATGAACACAATACTAGTAATGGTACGCATGATATAAGGATGAACACAATACTAGTAAGGGTACGCATGATATAAGGATGAACACAATACTAGTAAGGGTACGTATGATATAAGGATGAACACAATATCACGGTCACGTCAATTCATGGAAATATAAGCATCGTCAGCACACAGATAACGGAAACAATTCAACCTGCAACTAGACACGACTTTTGATCATCATTTATATGTTCTGTAATCAAAGGGTTCAAGCTCAAAAATTTGCGCACTGCTTCATCCCGCGGCAAGTGTGATTGCGCGCGCACGATCTTTCGTCATCTTAGCATTTCTCTAAGTCGTTGTTCACCACGTATTGTTTTAAGACTTTTCACATTGTTGTCAATCGTCAAAAGGGATGAACATTAAACGCTCATCCTCATGAACAACGAGGGAAGGTCATGAAAACAGAACATTGTTAATGGGCCTTAATAAACCGCTCTTCCTGTAGTGTTGTTTTTTTACGAAACATTTATTTACCGTCAATAGTGTTGTTCCCAAGTCTGATATTTTCGAGCGTGACGAATTGCTTTCCCGGATGACGTTTTAGCTTATGCTAATTTAAAATTTACACTTTTCATTAGAAAAAGCGATTGTCGTGCCATACAGACTTACTGTAGAATACCAAGTTATTCAATTTTGTATATGTCATTGGTTTGGCAATTCTGATGAAAGTTTTAATTCGTTATGACAATACCCATAGGTCTTCTTATCAATGGCAGAAGCCTTTTCCTTTATTTTTTAAGACTCTAATTCGGATCGTTTCCTGTGCTAGAGCCCTACGATCTATCTATCTATTGATTATCTATTGTCCTTTACCACCTAATGTGTCATTTTTCCTATCTCTTATATTCATTCGTTGTCATTTTGCGTTCCAGCTTTGGTTGACTTTTCTGATGAAGAAGGTTACGGCAAGTACTTGGATCTTCACGAACCTTATGATAAATATATGAACATCAAGGGAATCGAGGTAATTCAACTAGGTCGCATGCGTTTAGTTATGAAATTCCCGCCGCTGTTTTAAACCAATCAGTAATCAAAATGAATATTTACGAAAAGCAGCGTCAGCGATATGAATGGAACAATGAAAAATGACAAAACCATGGACAAAACTGACCAAAATTTGAAAATTTTGACATTAAACATTGACAAAATAACAAATCATGACAACATTATTATATTTAAAATAACTTTTTCTACAATACATAGAGCAAAAAAGAAATAATTACTGGATCAAAATTCTTTTTGGATATCTATAGTTAAATCATTGCTTTCCTAAACATCAGTCTTTTGTGCTTATTTATAAATAGCCATAAACCAAAGATGCATACATGACTATATCTATTCATGTTAAATTTACCATTAACTTAACTATATCATTTATTATATAATATGAAGAAATGAAATAAGAAACAGAAATTATCTTTTACGCACAAATTAAAAAGGTGTGCATTGACTAACTATTTCACTAATTTGAAAACTGGAGCTTTTACAAGTTACATAATAGATTAAGATAAAATTGAACTTTATATAAATTTTGGCACGTGTACCTGATGTGATTCTAAAAGAAAAATATCACACAATCTTAAACGTGGAACAAAATATATCAATTTGTTCAATGTACACATCTCCAGAGGAATTTAACAAAATCATAAAACACAAATCATCGTTTTCTATAATCAAATTAAAAGCAGCCAATATAGAAATACAGATCGAAGGACAAAATGTAAATCTATCTAATGGCTGCTTGTCATTTATGTCTTCCACCGTGACGTCTCTTCGATGGAGTTTTCTTTTCAAGTTTATGAGCAAAACTTTCACGACAAATGGGACAGCGTGTTCTAAAGGACAGAAAAAATATTTCTCATAATCATAAAATTGACTGTTGGACAATGTCAGGAGATGACGTTCGGTATAACGTCAGTAGCGCATAAATGACGTTTGGTTTAACGTCAGTAATACATAGATGACGTTGGGTATAAAGTCAGTAATACATAAAGTTGGATTCATTTTTGGATTTTCGTTCAACTTACATTACTCTTCGAATCATTTCATTGGCGCATTCTTAATGAACTTTATGAGAACATGGTAATATTTGACAACCTGTGAAAGCATCCTACAATAAAATATTGAAAATATTTTAAAGATTTGGATATGAATTTGACTAAACATTACAAAATGAAACACGAGCAGCAACTATAATGAATATTTACCATTTGTAGGGGTAGAGATAAAATGAGACGGATTGTGTCGTAAGCAAAAGCAGTTTTACATGTTTGAAAATGTAGATCGTCTAGGTTGAAATGGGAAGGAGATATGAGCAAGCAAAAGAAAGCAAAATGTGTGTCTAAGAAGCTTAAACGTCTTGATGATAAGGTAAAAAATATTTAGTAGTTTTATTTGAAATGATCTTTGCGCTCATGTACCAGAGAGTTTTGATAGTTTGTTTGATGTGATACGGTAAAATCTAAAATCTCATCTTTGTGTTATTAGTTTCTTTTCGAATATTTCGTAAATAAAAACATCACGTTTCTCTACTTCCCAAATGCAATGTTTGTAAGATTTTGTACGATGAATTATGTGATTTTTTCTCCATAGAGATGTTTATAATGATCTCGTAGCTAAAGGACAGCTTATTCCTAAACCTGATAAAACTCCACCTACAGTCCCAATGGATTACAGCTGGGCACAGGTATCGTGGCTCACTGTCGTTAAATTTCTGCTTACCTTAAAGGGCCTATTTGTGAAGTTAACTCAACAATCTTGTAAAATCTTTTTAGGAGCTCGGTCTTATTCGAAAGCCCTCGTCATTCATGTCAAGCATTTGTGACGAACGTGGAGCTGAATTACTCTATGCTGGCGTACCTATTACAAAAATATTTGAGGTACATGTTGTTCTAAACAAAAAATCTGGAGTAGCGATGTCCTTGGTTATGGCAAATGGTCTTTACTTAGCGTCAATATTACTGTATTTTTTCTAGGATGACCTTGGAGTCGGAGGAGTTCTTGGACTTTTGTGGTTTCAAAGGAGGTAATGCTTAGTTAGCTGAACTTACGAGCTGTGACTCGCCAAATAACAATAGACTTTCCACGTTTTTTACCAACCATTATTATTAAGTTTTTTTGTTATTGTACGTACGTTCATTAGGCTTCCAGCGTACGCCTGTAAATTCCTAGAAATGTGTTTGATGATTACCGCTGACCATGGACCTGGTAAGCTTTTCTTGTATGAAACAAAAACGACAAACAGCGGAGTATTCGCTGCAGCTAATTCCATCATAATGAAATGTTTTACCGACCGAAAATCAAATCAAACGTGGAATTGATTTTTTTTGTAAGCTTTAGTTTTGTTTTAAGCTGTCTCTGGAGCACATAACACAATTGTCACTGCTAGAGCTGGCAAAGATTTAATCTCGCTTGAAATGTTGATTTCTTGCACAAAATTTTCATTACTAACGCGTGTGGTGTTGTTTGTTATCGATATTTTGAATGACTTTATAATTTTTTTATAAGAAGTCACTAAACAAACGTCATTGTGTTGATATCACAAAGAGACGTAAACCTACCATTGCATCGTTCGTATTAATAAGGAAAGTGTTTGTTTAGGGTGATCGATTTGGAGGTGCATTGGACGCTGCTGCCAAACAATTTTCTGAAGGATCTGATAGTGCAATAACGCCAATGGAATTTGTAAACAATTACAAAGAGTCTGGAAAACTGATCATGGGAATTGGTCATCGAGTGAAATCGGTATTTTTAATGAGTCTGAGTGTTTTGTGTCAAATTTTTCTTGTCGATGTTTTCAGTATCAAATCTCTAAAATGTTGCACGAAATCATTTTGTGCATTTTTAATAATTTTAGACTAGATTCTTCTTTCTATATCCCAGTCATAGTAGACTGTGCTATAATGATCAAACCGTTTATAAAAGTGTGTTGTATTTTAGATAAATAATCCTGACAAACGTGTTGTAATAATCAAGGAATTTGCATTAGCTAATTTCCCCATGAACGAAGTCTTGAATTTTGCTCTGAGCGTCGAGAAAGTCACTACGTCTAAGGTATACTTATATATCTAAGTAATGAACAGTATTGTGTTAAAGATGTTTCTATTAAAATTTGCACTTTTCAGTCTTTCAACACAATTCCGATCTAAACGCAAACATTTTTACTGATGGTCGGCAAAATTTGCCATTGTTTAAGAATTGTTTTGGACTTTTCTGAAGATATTCTTGACGTGCATTTTTTTCAGAAACCCAATCTTATTTTAAATGTCGATGGATGCATTGCTGTTTGCCTTGTTGATCTGTTGAGAAATTGTGGATCTTTCACAAGCTGTGTGCCTCTGTACATTCATAGAACATTGCATAAATTACGTATTATCTACAAAGACAGAGAACGCTGTATGATCCTTGTACCTTATATAACTACCACAAATATTGCGTTGAAAATGTTTGAATTTGTTTGCTCACGAGTAAATTTATATTCAGACATATCTATTTCTGTAAACTTCAACGGTTAGCAAAACACTAACCGTTGAAGTTAGTGTTCGAGCATTGACCATTTATATAACGCCTGTTTTTCATTGTGTGTAAACAGGTCGACTGTTACAGGGACTGAAGAAGCTCTTTTAGCTGCGTACGTCTTCCTCACTGTTTATATTTTCTATCGATGAGTTGATGCATCCCTAAAATATGATAAAATTATCTGGAATATGTTGCTTTTAAATTATTTGCGTATTTTGCGACAGCAAATGTCTACATAACAAAATACCTCCTTTATTATTACTCTTGCAAACTCTAACAAATATACGCCGCAATCGTGACCATTTTTTTGCCTTGCAACCTGAATGGTGATTAAATAACAACGTTTGTGACATATCCATACATTGACTTTATAGATCAATGTGTTTATGCTTATCAAACAATTACTCGACTTACATCCGCATAAATAGGCTCTGAAATGCTTCCCATGTGGTCTGACCATTGTTGCTCTTCTTTTATGTGTTGGAGATACCTTAACGTTAAAAAGCTGTTTATGAAGTTAGAAAACATGTCGGTACATATCAAAAGGGCAACCTGTTAGTTCAGTATGTATAGAAATAACAACCTTCTTATGAGTAGATAAGATGCAGCTTTGTCACACTTTTGTCACAGAGCTCTTACCCGTGCCAGTTAGTTTCCAGTCCCTGAAGTTGATCGGTGCGCGCATGTCAACCAGAAATAGGGTTTAATAAACATGGCATGGCATTGGATGGCGTGAAAATCGGAAATACGACAAAGCTGGAAGTTGCATGCTATTGACAAAGTAACATTAGAGCCGCCTTATGTTTTATTGGTTAATAAACCGGATCTATGTCATTGTGTATTCATTCTTCAAACTATATAGTCGAACTATCGTCTTAAAAAATGTTATTTGCGTTGTTTATTATTGCATTGCTTTTGGACGTTTTGAAAAAAAACAAAAAATATGGCACACATGTTTAATCAGATATATGCAGACACTGTTGAGTTTGAAGAAGTTAGTCACAGTGATCTTATCAATTTGATTTTCGTCGATTTTATAAGTAAAAAGATTCAAGAGCTACGAAGAGCTGAAAAGGATGAAAGTAAAGCAGACCCTTGGACGGAGTATCAAAACGTTTTAGAAATGATGGCTGAGGAAGATCGGTGGTTCAATTTTGCAGCTCGTGCTGTCGAAACAATCAATCGCGAACATGTCTGGAATGGAATATGTGAAGCCTTTAAGTTTCTAAAGTACAGTGGACCTTCGAATTCTCACAAGACATATTTTGACAAACTGTTTAGTGTTACTTGGGTAGAACTAATGTTAATGTACACGGAGACAAAACGTCCTCCTTTTTATCAACATCTCTTTGACTATGCTGATTGTAGTTGTAAACTGAAATACAGATCAACTATGTAATTGCTTTGACAAAAAAATAAAATATAAATTTCAACGTTATTGCATTTTGTCTTCAGTTGTTTTATGACCATGTCATTGTGAAAATGGGGATCGGTAGCAGCAAACGTGAAAATAGAAATGCAAAAAGGGATAAAAATCATAATCGTCAGAAAATGTTTCGCTTGGGTATAAGTTTCGGACGCAACGATCTCAATCTTGAGGGTCATTTGCAAGCAGGATACACAAGTAAAACTGTTAAAATATATGGACCCGCCGCAATTAAACTTCCAACAGATAATGCGATAGAAGAAACACTGCCTGTAACTGAAAACATTGAACCCATCGATAATGAGTAGTTAAAAGAAATTGACATCTAATTGCAAAATTATTATCACGAGAACATTGTCATGAGTAACGTTGACCAGTACTTAGCCAGTGTATACTTCAATCCAAAACGCCCTGGAAGCTACGGAGGTGTTGAACGTTTGTACCGCGATGTAAAGGCAGAAGGAATATATGACATTAGTCGTGAAAGAATTAAAGAATGGCTCATGCAACAAGACGCATACTCTTTGCATAAACCTATTCGAAGAAAGTTTGAAAGAAATCGTGTCGTAGTGAGTGGTATTGACGACCAGTGGCAATTGGATCTTGCAGACATGCAATCTTTGCAAAAGTATAATGATGGTTATCGCTATCTTCTTATCTGTATTGATGTTTTTTCCAAATATGCATGGGCTGTTCCGTTAAAAAAGAAAACAGGATCGTCGTTGGTAGAAGCTTTTAAAAAGATTTTGTCATCAGGACGTAAACCGACACACATTCAAACGGATCAAGGCTCGGAGTTTTTTAATCGAGACTTTAAGAAACTTTTGGCAGAAGAAAACGTTACCTTGTTTAATACATTTAACGAGACAAAGGCATCCATCGTTGAACGTTTGATACGTACACTAAAAACTAAAATGTGGCGCTACTTCACAGCAAACAAAACAATGAGATACATTGACATGCTTCCTGATCTACTGTATTCTTATAATCATAGCATGCATCGCAGCATTAAGGAAAAACCCATCAACGTTACAAGTGAAAATGAAGATAGAATTCGGCAAAATTTATACGGTGAAAGCAAACTAAATAAGCCTACGCATGTAAATTATAAGTTTGATATTGGTGATCAAGTACGAATAAGTAAAATAAAACGAAAGTTTGAGAAGGGGTATTTACCGAATTTTTCAAAAGAAATTTTCGCTGTAAGTCAAAAAATACCACGTAATCCTCCTGTATACAGACTGAAAGATCATGAAGGGGACGAACTTCAAGCAACATTTTATGAAAAAGAACTTCAAAAAGTCATCAAGAAAGACGATGTTTATGAGATTGAAAAAATACTTAAGAAACGTGGTAGAGGGGGCAATGTGCAATATTTTGTAAAGTGGTCTGGCTACCCTAACAAATTTAATTCATGGGTACCGGCATCGGAAATACATATATAAAACGTAACCGTTTTCATGATTTTTTCATTTCACATTATACCTTAAAGATGAGCGGGACACACTTCTATCTGACATTACCTAGTAATGCATCTCTCTCTGTATTTCCTGAGAATAAGATTTCAGGTTATCGCGTAAAACTACCTCACGTTGTGAATTTAAATGGTAATTGGGAAGTAGGACTGTATTCAATTACATATCCTCATACATGGTACACGTTGAAAAAAGGTTTGGATACACATATATATGTAACTCACAAAACAGGTCTACCTACTCCGGTATTTGTCGACTATGGCCTGTATGAAAAAGCCTTCGACCTAGTAAAATCAGTTAATGAGACTCTTTACAAAGAAGTAAAAGACAATATCAAATTGAGCTTTGACCCCCGCACAGAAAAAATTAAAGTGCATGTAAGACAGGGTTACAAAATATCATTTAATCAACGAATGTCGGTCTTACTTGGTTTTGGCGGAAAAGACGTAGAGATTTTAAAAACAACCGAAAGCCCTTATGCTTCTGATTTGCACGGATCCGTCATGATGTATGTATATTGCAACATTGTACAACCGCAAGTTGTTGGAGACGTCAATGTAAAATTACTAAAGGCAGTTACCATTCAAGGAAAATATGGAGACATTGTTTCAAGAACATTCACTAATATCCAATACATACCCGTGCAAACAAAATCTTTTGAGGACATCGAAATTCTCTTAAGGGACGAGTTAGGAAACCCCATCGCATTTGAACGAGGAAAGTCGATAGTGACACTTCATTTCAGAAAGCAAGCTTCGTCTTATTTTACATAAGAAATATGACTCTAACAAATCGTTATGTTCAATATTATCTCAACCAACAACGAGGATACGGTTCATCGCCTGTGTTTAAAGGAGCACCTTGGCAAAGAGGATATGGGCAAGTGGGTTATGGTCTTGGTGGCTTATTTCGCAGTTTAGCTAGAGCTGTAATACCTCTGGCAAAAGCGGTGCAAAGCTCTGGGTAAAATTGCTCTTAACACAGGAGCAAACGTTTTAGGCGATGTTATCTCCGGGAAAGTGTGAAAGAGTCTGCAAAATCGAGAGTAAATCAGGCTGCTAAAGATGTGGGAAAATGGCTGTAAACAGAATGCAGCAGTTTGCTCAAACAGGAAGAGGAAAGTCTTCAAAGAAACGGTCAAGAAAACCAGCTAAAAAGAGAAAGGCGACGACCTCCATTGCCATTCACAGTTCAGCCAAGAGACGTAAAGCAGCTAAAGAAGCGGAGGACATTTTCGGCTAAATATGGATTTCGTTCATCCAAAATCTGCAGAATGTACAAAAACCGAACTTGATTTATTTTCTGTCCCACCAACACAAGTCAGTTTAGAAAAGGGGCATTGGATTGATCATCAACCTGTGTCCAGCGTATCTGAAAACGGACCAATTACATTTTTAGCGCCCGGCACTGAAGATTATGTTGACATGTCTAAGACAATATTGGTAGCTAGAGCGAAAGTAACAAAAGCCGATGGTGGGGATATCGATGATGACACTAAAGTTGGACCTGTAAACAATTTCTTGCACAGTTTGTTCAAGCAAGTTGACGTGTTTCTAAAAGGAAAGTTAGTTACACAAGCAACAGGAACATATCCATATCGTGCATATCTCGGCACACTTTTAAATTATGGTCCGTCAGCCAAACAATCACAGCTCACCGCTGCGTTATTTTACAAAGATACTGCAGGTCAGATGGATAATGCAGATCCTACACACGCAAGTCCAAACAGGGGTTTGAAGACAAGAAATAAGTTTATCATGGGAAGTAAAATTGTTGATATGGCAGGTCCTATCTTTTGCGATGTTTTCTTTGGTGAACGTTACTTACTTAGCTATGTTGATTTGAAAGTGGTCATGAACCGTACCAGTGACGAATTTGTCTTAATGTCATCGGTGGACGGTGCAGCCTTTAGAGTGAAATTGATAGATGCATACCTTAAAGTTCGTAAAGTCAAAGTGAATCCTAGTATATCTCTGGCTCACGAAGTTGCCCTGAAAAAAGGTCCAGCCATTTACCCTGTAAGGCGTGTGGACTGTAAAAGTTTTATTATTCCTTCTGGAAACCCTTCGCTGCAAAAAGATAACCTTTTCAATGGTTTAGTGCCTAAATCGTTTGTTTTTGGTCTTGTTGAAAGTGCGTCATTCAATGGAGCTTATAAAAAGAACCCATTCAATTTCCAGCATTTCAACATTTCATCGTTAGGCATTTCAATAAATGGTGAATCTGTACCATTTAAACCAATCAATTTGTCCTTTGGCGCGAATCCAAGATTTATAGAAGCATTTCTATCACAGTTTTCAGGCACTGGGAAAATGTATTACGACACAGGCAATGGCATTACGCGTGAAGATTTCCCAAACGGTTTTGCCCTGTTCGGCGCGGACTTTACCCCCGATATGTGCAGTGCATCCGAACATTTTAACACGGTGCAAAAAGGAAATCTGGCCATTGACTTACAATTCTCGACACCGCCAACTCAGGCAGTTAGCCTTGTGTGCTACGGAGAGTTTGAGAATATAATACAAATCGATGGAGAGAAATGTCGTTTATGACTACATTGGATAAATGAACACCTCACAAATATGGACCGCTTTGAAATCCGATCCGGTAACAGGAAAAAAATTTCTCGGCGTTTTTCCAGCCGACCGTCTGCCTAAAGAAATCGAAAGCTACCCAAAAGGATTTATCGCAAACACGGATGTAAGCGGAAAACCGGGGACCCATTGGGTTGCCTTTTACTTTCCTTCAGAAGGAAAAGCCGAATTCTTCGATAGCTATGGACAACCACCAGAGCGATATCATAAGTTCTTTAGAGATTATTTGAAACATTATGATTGGGGATATAATAAACGTCAATTGCAAAGTATCTGGACGGATGTATGTGGACAATATTGTATATTTTACCTCAGCCATAGAGTGCGAGGATATAGCATGAATAAGATTGTAAACATGTTTGATGGTAATACTGTTGAGAACGATAACAAGGTATCAAGTTTCGTTAGCAGACATTTTCATATAGAAACTAGTGTAACCCTAAAAGATAGCATTCAGTCAAGTATAAAATTTGTTGTAAAAGCTTGAGCCGTTTATTATCAATAAAATTTTCTTTGTGTAAGCTAATTGCCTGTGTTTTCTATTTGCATATTCTAATGATAACAGTCAGGAAATTGATATCAACTGCTCTATTTATTTAAACAAAACAAATCTTTACATGTCAAATTTTAATAGTCTATCCAACGTAAGCGAGTTTTCTTTAGTGTAGGGCTGGCTTTAGGTGTTGTCATTTTTGTTCTTGAGCCTCTGTGGTAGGCTATTCCGTCTTCTTCATCAGGCGAAGTTTCCATTTGAGCTTCTTCCCATCTTACATCGTTCCGAACCAAATCGCGAGGAATGTTTATTTTTGATAAAACGCGAAAGAATTCTCTAGAACCTGTAGGATTGAAATTCTTTCTCCCTCTTACGGCGTCGCTAATGAGGTCTGATATATTTGATTGAGGGATAATAACACCGTCAAGTTTGACTTGTCCTGAATCATCCCAAGTTATTATATCTGGTTTTGTTTTGAGACGCTGCAGTATTGCTGTTGCACGTTCACGCATCGTCTTCGGCACACTTTGTACAATGACGGAGTCAGCTAATGTACGCACTTCGTTGTTTATTACTGTGTTTCTTTCTTCCCCGTCGGTTGTATCCATCACGCGTACTGTGGGTATCTGAATATCTTTTTGTTTCTTCAAATTAAGGAATTGCTCAAAGTTTGTGTTAAAAAGTTTTTGCCTTTGATCGTCACTTAAACCGTCTTGGTGAAGGATGTGTGAGAGTTGAGTATCTTTTTGCATCATGTTCATGGTAATCGGCGAAACTTCAAATTTTTGCTTTTGTTCATATTTATTATAAACGTCTTCAGGTACTAAAATCATTCGCTTGGCATGCTTCATTATTTCAGCAAACTCCCTAGAACGTTCAAAACCGGTGGTAGGAAGGCGCTCAGTAGATTTCCTCCTTTTTGATTTAAAAGTTTTTCTTTTAGCTCTTGAAATTCTCTTGTTCGCTAAGGCTCTGAGATGTTTCTTATACCTCAACAAGCGTCGTTTTTGACTCGCAGATATCGGTACAGTTCCTTTTAACACATTAACTGCGCATTCACAAATACACAACATGACATCAGATGGTCCATGTTCGATGATAACCTTTCGAATTTTCGGCTTAGATTTTGCAAGTACTTGTAGGTATGGAAGATTGCTCCTAATTCGTTTAGACATGGTGCTTAAATGACTGTTGATGTCGATGCTTATCACTTATGTACATAGACAATCTGCTTTTCACCGGGCAAGATATTTGTTCTGACACGCATATTGTCAGATGTGAGTTGATGCAAATCGAGCAAAAGATAACCGTAAGGGCGGCATGTGGCGTCTTGAAATGACTCCAAAGGTAATTCGTTTTCTTTGGGTACATTTGGCGTGCCAATGTTGCGATACCTAGCGAATCTCTGGGGTTTTTAAAAATGATCATGTAGTGGGAATTTAAGCTGATTGTTCGGGATTGTTTACCAGGCGGAAATAAATTTTGTGTTAGATACATGACAGAGACGCCACGGTGATGTGACCCGCGGGTAAATAAATCGGACATTCGTTGATCGCTAGAACATTCTGACATCAAATCGTCAACGACCACTAAAGAGTTTTGACAACCTTCCAAAATATCAAATAAGTTGTCCGGGAATCCTTCGACGAAGCAAATGTTTGGAATTTTTGATTCCATTTCACCAAATTCACTTTGCCGTTCACCGTAACAGTAAATAATTTTATTTGGAACAGGATAAAAAAGTTCATTTAAATTATAAAGCATCGACCTAACCAAATAGCTTTTGCCCGACTGACTTTGACCACACACATAAAAGTTGGCAGGTGTTCTAAAACGTACGTCCATTGTCTCGCAAATAAAAGCAAACATGCTCTGCTTTCACTTTTATAACCACTCGCGCTAGTAAGCATTTTGACATATTCAAAGAAAGACGGTATGATTCGACTAGCTTGAATGGGAGGTATTTGTAAAATAGTGAACAAAGTGCACACAATAAGAATACATTGGACAATGAACAATTTTATTAAATATTTTTCTAATTATCTACATCAATCAAACTACAAAAATCTCTTTTGATTATATATGAACACATCATACTTTAGCAGATATTTATGACAGAAAATTTTAAAAGCACTTGAGGGTTTACTTTAAAATCCTCACAAGCATAGGCATGTCTTTTAATCGTTCATTCATTTTGTAACTACATTCATAGTTCGCAACATTCATAGTTCACAAGAGTTGTTTGTAACTTTTCCAATTTTCCATAATGAATTCCATGCTGTCTGTATGTTTTTTCCTTATGGCTGCGTGTGCAAACCACGGTGAAAAATGCGGTTATGTGAAGCGATATCGTATGTTAGATTGTTCTAACATGGATCTCGAGCATGTTCCTATCGGAACGGTAAAAGATGCACGAATACGGATTTTGTCGTTGAAACGAAACAACATTAAAGCTGTGAATGAACTGGATGTTATTCGTGCGTACCCAAGACTTATGTACATTGATTTACGTGAAAACCCTCTGTCCTGTCCTGTCAATTTCTCAATGTTAAATGTGTTGTTTGATCCGTGTCCAGCCCGAAAGAAAGATTTATATTTGTTGTCGGTGAACTCATTTTCGTCTGTGACACAACTTTTCCGTATACGTCAACCACAAGCAATCGTTTACCTCAGTCATCAGTCAGTTTTCTCTTCTACCATCGTCGTTGATTATGTCCACCCTGTAAATCATCTCACGTTCCGTCGTCCCGCCAAAAGTTTTATGTTCGCCCCTCACGGATTTTTTTTTTTAACATGTCAACCTCATCACCGTCGCTGTTATTATTGTCTACATCTTTGCTGTTGTCGCCGTCCACGCCGTCAATACCTCCACATTCAACGATATCATTCTCAACTTCAAAGTCATCACCTCTGCTGTCGTTATTACCACTGTTACCCTCACTATCACCATCAGCATCATCACCATTTCATTCGCAGCTGTCGTCTTCGTCTTTACCGGTATCACCGTCACTGTCAGAATCAATGGTTTCGTCTTCATCGTTCATGTATTTAGTTCCACCAGCGAAAGAAAAAACTGTCAACTTTATGTGTTGGTTCCTTCTACGATAGTTTCCATATTTGTCTGTATAATGTTGATGTATTGCATGGTTCGCAATTGTCGTCGCTGTTTCCCGTCTGTACATACCGATCACATAGAAATGACTGCGTATCGTGTTCAATCGTCGTTAGCCTTGTCCAGTGTAGAAATGTGTCAAACAACCTCAGTCTAAAATATGTATATTTGTTTGTTAGTTTACATGTCATTGATTCGAAACTGTTTAACTATTCAACGCTGTTTGATTATATGCATGTCACTTTATTAATTTACCTGTCTCGACTCTATACTTGATTATCAATCTGTCTGTAAAATGAAAGTTCACTGTCGGAGTGATCAATGTCGTCAAGAAACTCCACATCGGATTGTCTTTCGGAAAAGCTTTCTTCGTCTTCAGAGTCGGTTTCCATTAAATCAATCGACTCGCTACATTCACCTTGACCTGTCATACATTCTTTGTAATTTTCTAGTGCGGTTGGATGCACGGATGTGAATAAAATATCATTAGCCATGGCTTCGCGTGCGATCTGAGGTAAACTGTTGGAAATTTCCGCTGACGGAAACCAATTATAGCCATAGGGAATGGTATTGGCCCCTCCGTCTATTATTATACGTTTGTCAAAGACAACTTGATATTTCTTAATTTGATTTTTATTTACAAGTCAACTGTCACCATAACGGATAACGGATGCCTTTTTTTCGACTTTTTTACTATCAACTTTATTATTTTCTCACAATACTTCACACTATCATTATTCAATAATTCTTTTCTCGAAACTAAAACTGCTTTTGACTTTTTTTGACTCTGAAGATGACTACCTCTAAGGTCGTCGAATCGTCAGTCAACAACAACAAAAACAGTCCTTTTCAGGACTATACCAACCTAGACGATCTACATTTTCAAACATGTAAAACTGCTTTTGCTTACGACACAATCCGTCTCATTTTATCTCTACCCCGCTACAAATGGTAAATATTCATTATAGTTGCTGCTCGTGTTTCATTTTGTAATGTTTAGTCAAATTCATATCCAAATCTTTAAAATATTTTCAATATTTTATTGTAGGATGCTTTCACAGGTTGTCAAATATTACCATGTTCTCATAAAGTTCATTAAGAATGCGCCAATGAAATGATTCGAAGAGTAATGTAAGTTGAACGAAAATCCAAAAATGAATCCAACTTTATGTATTACTGACTTTATACCCAACGTCATCTATGTATTACTGACGTTAAACCAAACGTCATTTATGCGCTACTGACGTTATACCGAACGTCATCTCCTGACATTGTCCAACAGTCAATTTTATGATTATGAGAAATATTTTTTCTGTCCTTTAGAACACGCTGTCCCATTTGTCGTGAAAGTTTTGCTCATAAACTTGAAAGAAAACTCCATCGAAGAGACGTCACGGTGGAAGACATAAATGACAAGCAGCCATTAGATAGATTTACATTTTGTCCTTCGATCTGTATTTCTATATTGGCTGCTTTTAATTTGATTATAGAAAACGATGATTTGTGTTTTATGATTTTGTTAAATTCCTCTGAGATGTGTACATTGAACAAATTGATATATTTTGTTCCACGTTTAAGATTGTGTGATATTTTTCTTTTAGAATCACATCAGGTACACGTGCCAAAATTTATATAAAGTTCAATTTTATCTTAATCTATTATGTAACTTGTAAAAGCTCCAGTTTTTCAAATTAGTGAAATAGTTAGTCAATGCACACCTTTTTAATTTGTGCGTAAAAGATAATTTCTGTTTCTTATTTCATTTCTTCATATTATATAATAAATGATATAGTTAAGTTAATGGTAAATTTAACATGAATAGATATAGTCATGTATGCATCTTTGGTTTATGGCTATTTATAAATAAGCACAAAAGACTGATGTTTAGGAAAGCAATGATTTAACTATAGATATCCAAAAAGAATTTTGATCCAGTAATTATTTCTTTTTTGCTCTATGTATTGTAGAAAAGTTATTTTAAATATAATAATGTTGTCATGATTTGTTATTTTGTCAATGTTTAATGTCAAAATTTTCAAATTTTGGTCAGTTTTGTCCATGGTTTTGTCATTTTTCATTGTTCCATTCATATCGCTGACGCTGCTTTTCGTAAATATTCATTTTGATTACTGATTGGTTTAAAACAGCGGCGGAATTTCATAACTAAACGCATGCGACCTAGTTGAATTACCTCGATTCCCTTGATGTTCATATATTTATCATAAGGTTCGTGAAGATCCAAGTACTTGCCGTAACCTTCTTCATCAGAAAAGTCAACCAAAGCTGGAACGCAAAATGACAACGAATGAATATAAGAGATAGGAAAAATGACACATTAGGTGGTAAAGGACAATAGATAATCAATAGATAGATAGATCGTAGGGCTCTAGCACAGGAAACGATCCGAATTAGAGTCTTAAAAAATAAAGGAAAAGGCTTCTGCCATTGATAAGAAGACCTATGGGTATTGTCATAACGAATTAAAACTTTCATCAGAATTGCCAAACCAATGACATATACAAAATTGAATAACTTGGTATTCTACAGTAAGTCTGTATGGCACGACAATCGCTTTTCTAATGAAAAGTGTAAATTTTAAATTAGCATAAGCTAAAACGTCATCCGGGAAAGCAATTCGTCACGCTCGAAAATATCAGACTTGGGAACAACACTATTGACGGTAAATAAATGTTTCGTAAAAACAACACTACAGGAAGAGCGGTTTATTAAGGCCCATTAACAATGTTCTGTTTTCATGACCTTCCCTCGTTGTTCATGAGGATGAGCGTTTAATGTTCATCCCTTTGACGATTGACAACAATGTGAAAAGTCTTAAAACAATACGTGGTGAACAACGACTTAGAGAATGCTAAGATGACGAAAGATCGTGCGCGCGCAATCACACTTGCCGCGGGATGAAGCAGTGCGCAAATTTTTGAGCTTGAACCCTTTGATTACAGAACATATAAATGATGATCAAAAGTCGTGTCTAGTTGCAGGTTGAATTGTTTCCGTTATCTGTGTGCTGACGATGCTTATATTTCCATGAATTGACGTGACCGTGATATTGTGTTCATCCTTATATCATACGTACCCTTACTAGTATTGTGTTCATCCTTATATCATGCGTACCCTTACTAGTATTGTGTTCATCCTTATATCATGCGTACCCTTACTAGTATTGTGTTCATCCTTATATCATGCGTACCCTTACTAGTATTGTGTTCATCCTTATATCATGCGTACCCTTACTAGTATTGTGTTCATCCTTATATCATGCGTACCCTTACTAGTATTGTGTTCATCCCTATATCATGCGTACCCTTACTGGTATTGTGTTCATCCTTATATCATGCGTACCCTTACTAGTATTGTGTTCATCCTTATATGCGTACCCTTACTAGTATTGTGTTTATCGTTATAACATGCGTACCCTTACTAGTATAGTGCTTATCCTTATATAATGCGTATCCATACTAGTACTGTTTATTGTTATATCATGCATGCGTACCCTCACATGTCTTTTGCTAGTGTCATACATTTACTAACCTCAGCAGATGAGAAACCACACAGATCAAGATGTGCCCCAGATTGCGCCAAAGCACTTCCGGTATCTTTCTATAAATAATCAAACCAAAAACAAATCATACATACACGCGCGATACAAAGCAAATCTTCGATGCACGGCCTAAATATCCCCCTTCACTCACGGGCCATCCTGGAAATCATCCTTGCGCCCAGTTTCTATCAAATTCTTCTTGGGTTTCCTCCATTTCCTAAAACGAAACGTCTGGAACTGTTGGATTTTTTGTGATATGTAAATTACGTAGCTAACTTATGGTCGTTTTCTGATTTAGGGCCTGATTATATGGAGGCGAGCTGGCTCCATTGAACTAAAATACATGAAACGCTATCTGAAGCAAATAATTGAAGCTAAATATTACACCCACAGATTACACTCAGACATGCGTGTGTAGTGTTTCGAGATTCTGGAAATTGATTAACTACACACGCGCGTCTGGGTGTAATCTCGCGTGTCTGGGTGTAAAATTTGGCTTCAAGATTTTATTAGACTTTTCTATTAAGGCAGTGTTCCATGTATTTTATTTCAATGGCTGGCCCGGATAGCGAGCTAGCCCGATGATTTCAAGCGATTGAAAGGAGCCAAAACTTCAAGGTTAAAAATTACGTTTGCGAAGCCACTACACGTCACTCCAGTTGTAATTCTCAAAATTTGAAATCAGGGCAAATTGATTGTTTCAATTTTAAATGTTTTGAGAAGTCATTAATACAGAATATTGCGAAATTGCTTGAGAAGATTTATCTGATGGTAAGTATTGAATCGTGTTCATTTGCCAAAATCATTTAACGCTTGGCTGAATCCCGGCTACCGGGCTCATGCGATCAGCCCATTACAAAAGATAAAAATCACGTGTATTTTCGTTGTTACGCAACAAACTCGCCTGTGTTTTATGACAAAGTTTTGATTGCTAATGAAGTTAATCACATACATGATGTACGGCCAATTTGTTTAACATTAGCAGGAATACATTAGTTGGGAGAATACATGGACGGTGGACAACTGCTTATCTACTTTACTCATCAAAAAAGCTTCAATCGTTTTGAAAGTAAGCGTGCGAAAAAGAAATGTTGCGAAGAAAGTCCATTTCAGTTTTAGAAGATCCTTTATTAAAAACAATGAAAGTTTCTACGTCAAAGGCACGTGAAACCAATGATGTCGGCTTACCTTATCAAGATCGACCAGCGGTTGGACACGTTGACAATAGTAGTAAAGGTAATCAAGGAGAACGATGATGTATCTAAAGTTAGGAAAAGAGGATCAGCGCAATCCAGTGGGCATAATTAAATAAGTGATCGAGGACCCAATCAGACTGACGGATTTAGGAAAACCTTATTTAATACAAAGTTACTGCATCGAAGCAAAACTCGCGTAAAGGAGACCTTAAAGTGATAAAGCGAAAATTAAATATAGATAAGATATGTAGTGCTTGTTCAAGGAATGGGCATTGACAGAAAATTACGACAAAATAAACTCGGAATCTTTATATAATTTGCAACTTGACTAGAAAAATCTGAGTTATATGTTGAACTCTATCAAGAAAAAGTACCCGGAAGTAGTCTTTATAGCAAACGCGAACTCATAGCAACCATGTTGTGGTGAATTTAGACTATCGCCTTAGCTTCTATGGAAACAAAATTTCAGTTTCACCTTTTGTATTCGTGTGTTTTCTTCTCTTTGGGAATGTCGAACAAGCGGTCGAATGTTTCCAAATACGCAAGATAGTCTATTCTCTAGACAACACAAAGAAAATAGTGAAAGTTCTCGAACGCCAAAGTGTCCTAATTAGGTTGTTCATTTCATCAAATCAACATGTCAATTTTATTTGTGTTTGGCCAATATAGCATACGAAGATTTCCACGAGAGAACTAAAGTAAGACAGGCATGAGATGCATGGCAATGCTTTCTTCATACGAACGTCAAACGCTTAAGTCTGTAGTCTCAACTATGTGTATTGGTGACTGCTCCGAAACCAACTTTGACAAAATTCAAATGAAGTTCACCGAACATCATGAGATCTTTCGATCCCTGAAGTGATAATCGCCTTCACTCTTCAGTCTGACATTAACGTAGTTGAATTACCTCGATTCCCTTGATGTTCATATATTTATCATAAGGTTCGTGAAGATCCAAGTACTTGCCGTAACCTTCTTCATCAGAAAAGTCAACCAAAGCTGGAACGCAAAATGACAACGAATGAATATAAGAGATAGGAAAAATGACACATTAGGTGGTAAAGGACAATAGATAATCAATAGATAGATAGATCGTAGGGCTCTAGCACAGGAAACGATCCGAATTAGAGTCTTAAAAATCAAAGAAAAGGCTTCTGCCATTGATAAGAAGACCTATGGGTATTGTCATAACGAATTAAAACTTTCATCAGAATTGCCAAACCAATGACATATACAAAATTGATTAACTTGGTATTCTACAGTAAGTCTGTATGGCACCACAATCGCTTTTTCTAATGAAAAGTGTAAATTTTAAATTAGCATAAGCTAAAACGTCATCCGGGAAAGCAATTCGTCACGCTCGAAAATATCAGACTTGGGAACAACACTATTGACGGTAAATAAATGTTTCGTAAAAAACACTACAGGAAGAGCGGTTTATTAAAGCCCATTAACAATGGTCTGTTTTCATGACCTTCCCTCGTTGTTCATGAGGATGAGCGTTTAATGTTTATCCCTTTGACGATTGACAACAATGTGAAAAGTCTTAAAACAATACGTGGTGAACAACGACTTAGAGAAATGCTAAGATGACGAAAGATCGTGCGCGCGCAATCACACTTCCCGCGGGATGTAGCAGTGCACGATTGACAACAATGTGAAAAAGTCTTAAAAACAATACGTGGTGAACAACGAAATGCAAGGATGACGAAAGATCGTGCGCGCGCAATCACACTTCCGCGGGATGAAGCAGTGCGCAAATTTTTGAGCTTGAACCCTTTGATTACAGAACATATAAATGATGATCAAATTTGAAAGTTCTAACTTTAGTAGCTGACCAAGAAATCGCGAACAACCTCTTTACGGTTCCACGTGATCAGTTCATACATGAAAAGTGCAGTGAGAGGGTTTAAAACACTTCATTTCATAATTCAACGACCGCAAATGATCGATAATTGGGTGAAGGGGAGGGGGGGGGCTGATATTCATATGTGCATAATGTGCCCTATCAAGTTCCTTTGAAATCCATTGTTTTCTATGGATTATAGCATACATATATGAGTATGAGCCCACCAATTATCGATCCTCTGCGGTCCCAGTCATTTAGATATATTACTTGTGAGTTTTATCAATTATCACGTTTAAATGGGAAATGTGATCGATTTTACTGGAAAATCGCATCTTCAGCTAAGGATGTGTTGGGGTGTTTAAGTTTATGTTCTTGGAATTTAGGTGAAACAAAGCAAAGAAAATAAGATTTCACCTTCACAAACATTCTTTTGGTTCACTGAAAGTCATGTGTCAATTCAATAGAGCTCAACCTCAATACTGAGTTTGTGTCAATACATACAATACCGAGTTTGCGTTTTATTTTGGCTAAAACTGGACATAGGTAATTTGGTCAGAATTCCAGAGGGCCAAATTTCTAGCTCAAACACTAAATATGTCAAATAAAGCAAACCAATCAATTTCATGCAATTTCTTTCAAGAAAATTTCATATTCCATGGTGTTTCAATGGTATCCAAAAAACGATGAACAAAATATTTTTTCCGAAATGAAATACATTTCCCAATGGCTGTATATGCATTCATTCTAAATCATATCACCTCATTTGGATACTTTCTGTGATAGTCTTTGATAACTCGTAATCTGCTGTAGAAATCAGCAAACTCATTGGGCCCAGATAAAGCAGATATTTCTTCTTTCCTCATCCTAAAACAGGAAAGACATTTCAAAGTATAAGAAATGAACCAACAATGAAATAAATACATGTGCAGTAACTGAATGTTTAAGGCAGCATAGCAATGGCAAAATATGTAGTTCGACTCACATTATGCAACGCTAGTCGGCTAATTCTTACCTTAAATTAACTAAGCTCGTAAAAAACTATCAAAATGTCTATTCTTACCCATCATTATCATTATACAATGTCAGCAACGAGCTAGTAGAAGAGAGATATCTCTACAAAAAGACATTTCAATTAAATAGACAATGTGACTGGTGAGTTGATATACAAAATCAAATTCAATGTCTGGTGGTGTTGTGCAAACAAAAAGGCTAAATTATTTAAGCACAGGATTGTAGTTTTAAAGTTAACCTTATTTTTGTAAATGGATAAGCACTATAAGTCATTCAAGAGGTACAAAGAAATTGAATTATCTGGCAAACCTCTAATAGATCCCAGGCTCTGTGATCTGAATTGATTTGGTCTTTAGGCTGCGGAAAGAGATGTCATTTCGATGCAGTAAAAGTAAAGAGTAAATTTATGTTGAAAATATCGTGCTGATAACTAAAGCTGATGAATACAGTCTGAATCAGTAGGTAAATTGTGATTGAATGATTTGGAAGACTAAAAATGCTTTACCGTCTGTTTCTTCAGTAAAAATTCTTCAGTTATCGCATCTTCGAGCCTCTCGCATTCTTCGTGCTGCCTTCTTTGCCTCTCTATTATCGTTTCCACACTTCAATTTTTAAATTTACCTCAGTGAATTGTGTAAAAAATCACTATTTTCTTTTCATATAACTTCCAACATGGCGAAGCATTCTTGCAAAGGCTGCTGGGATCAAAGTGGGATCAAAATGTAAAGCCAAAACCAAAGCCGGCATCCGATACAGTGATCCAATCCTGTAAGGAATATGATTAAATTCGTTTTCAGAATTGTTGGAATCCCTGTTTTTGTAAAAGCTGTTTTTAAAGTGGAAAATGTGTTGAAATGCATTAATAATAGTTTTATAGTGAAAATATGAAAATATTATAAAACTTATATTCAGGAGGGGGGTGGACTTAATTTTTTGTAAAAGTTGTTTTTTAAGTGGAAAATGTGTTCAAATGCATGGAATTAGTCTGTTGGTGAAAATGTGGAAATATGATAACATTCATTTTCAGGGGATTGAAATCACTTCTTTCGTAAAAGTTGTTTTAAAGTGGAAAATGTATTCAAATGCATGGAATTAGTCCGTTGGTAAAAATGTGGAAATATGATAACATTCATTTTCAGGGGATTGGAATCCCTACTTTAATAAAAGTTGTTTTTAATTAGAAAATGTGTTTAAATGCTTGAATTATAGTTTTATAGTGAAAATATGAAAATATTATAAAACTTATATTCAGGAGGGGTGGACTTTTTTGTAAAAGTTTTTTTTTAAGAGGAAATTATGTTCCAATGCATGAATTAGTCATTTGGTGAAAATTTGGAAATATGATAAAATTCTTTTTTAGAATGGTTTTAATCCCTGTTTTTGTAAAAGTTGTTTTTTAAGTGGAAAATGTGTTGAAATGCATTAATTATAGTTTTATAGTGAAAATATGAAAATATTATAAAACTTATATTCAGGAGGGGGATGGACTTAATTTTTGTAAAAGTTGTTTTTGTAAAAGTTGTTTAAAATATAAAAGTTTTTAAACTTTTATCATATAAAAACTTTTATCATATAAAAGTTTTTTCTATTGTGCAAAATAAGTTTAAATGCATTAATTATAGTCTTTTGATAAAAATATGGAAATATGATAAAATTCATTTTCAGAATGGTTTTAATCCCTGTTTTTGTAAAAGTTGTTTTTTAAGTGGAAAATGTGTTGAAATGCATTAATTATAGTTTTATAGTGAAAATATGAAAATATTATAAAACTTATATTCAGGAGGGGGGTGGACTTAATTTTTTGTAAAATTTGTTTTTTAAGTGGAAAATGTGTTCAAATGCTTGAATTATAGTTTTATAGTGAAAATATGAAAATATTATAAAACTTATATTCAGGAGGGGGGGTGGACTTAATTTTTTGTAAAAGTTTTTTTTTAAGAGGAAACTATGTTCAAATGCATGAATTAGTCATTTGGTGAAAATATGGAAATATGATAACATTCATTTTCACGGGATTGGAATCCCTACTTTAGTAAAAGTTTTTTTTATTTGGAAAATGTGTTTAAAGGCTTGAATTATAACTTAATATGAAAATATGATTATAAAACTTATATTCAGGGGAGGGTGGACTTATTTTTTGTAAAAGTTTTTTTTAAAGGAAATTATGTTCAAATGCATGAATTAGTCATTTGGTGAAAATATGGAAATATGATAACATTCATTTTCAGGGATTGGAATCCCTACTTTAGTAAAAGTTGTTTTTAAGTGGAAAATGTGTTTAAATGCTTGAATTATAATAACATTTTGATAAAATAATGGAAGACTAAATTCATTTTAAGAGGGAGGAATCCCTATTTTAATGAAAGTTCTTTTATTGTGAAAAATGTGTTGAAATGCATGAAGAATTATAGTCTTTTGATTAAAATATGGAAATATGATTAAATTCGTTTTCAGAATTGTTGGAATCCCTGTTTTTGTAAAAGCTGTTTTTTAAGTGGAAAATATGTTGAAATGCATTAATTATAATTTTATAGTGAAAATTTGAAAATATTATAACTTAATAGTGAAAATATGAAAATATTATAAAACTTATATTCAGGAGGGGGGGTGGACTTATTTTTTTGTAAAAAATTCTTTTTTAAGAGGAAATTATGTTCAAATGCATGAATTACTCATTTGGTGAAAATATGGAAATATGATAACATTCATTTTCAGGGATTGGAACCCTACTTTAGTAAAAGTTGTTTTAAGTGGAAAATGTGTTTAAATGCTTGAATTATAACATTTTGATAAAATAATGGAAATAAGACTAAATTCATTTTCACTAGGGAGAGAATCCTATTTTTAACTTAATATTGAAAATATGAAAACATTATAAAACTTATATTCAGGAGGGTGGACTTAATTTTTGTAAAAGTTGTTTTAAGTGGAAAATGTGTTCAAATGCATGGAATTAGTCTGTTGGTAAAAATATGGAAATATGATAACATTCATTTTCAGGGGATTGGAATCCCTACTTTAGTAAAAGTTGTTTTTAATGCTTCTTTTTATTGTGCAAAATGTGTTCAAATGCATGAAGAATTATAGTCTTTTGATTAAAATATGGAAATATGATTAAATTCGTTTTCAGAATTGTTGGAATCCCTGTTTTGTAAAAGCTGTTTTTAAGTGGAAAATGTGTTGAAATGCATTAATTATAGTTTTCTAGTGAAAATATGAAAATATTATAAAACTTATATTTAGGAGGGTGGACTTAATTTTTGTAAAAGTTGTTTTTTTAGTGGAAAATGTGTTCAAATGCATGGAATTAGTCTGTTGGTGAAAATATGGAAATATGATAACATTCATTTTCAGGGATTGGAATCCCTACTTTAGTAAAAGTTGTTTTAAGTGGAAAATGTGTTTAAATGCTTGAATTATAACATTGTGATAAAATAATGGAAATAAGACTAAATTCATTTTAAGAGGAGGAATCCTATTTTTATAAAAGTTTTTTATTTTGCAAAATTTGTTCAAATGCATTAATTATAGTCTTTTGATAAAAATATGGAAATATGATAAAACTCATTTTTAGAATGGTTTTAATCCCTGTTTTTGTAAAAGTTGTTTTTTAAGTGGAAAATGTGTTGAAATGCATTAATTATAGTTTTATAGTGAAAATATGAAAATATTATAAAACTTATATTCAGGAGGGTGGACTTAATTTTTGTAAAAGTTGTTTTTAAGTGGAAAATGTGTTCAAATGCTTGAATTATAGTTTTATAGTGAAAATATGAAAATATTATAAAACTTATATTCAGGAGGGGATGGACTTAATTTTGTAAAAGTTTTTTGTAAAAGTTGTTTAAAATATAAAGTTTTAAACTTTTATCATATAAAACTTTTATCATATAAAAATTTTTCTATTGTGCAAAATAAGTTTAAATGCATTAATTATAGTCTGTTGATAAAAATATGGAAATATGATAAAATTCATTTTCAGAATGGTTTTAATCCCTGTTTTTGTAAAAGTTGTTTTAAAGTGGAAAATGTGTTGAAATGCATTAATTATAGTTTTATAGTGAAAATATGAAAATATTATAAAACTTATATTCAGGAGGGTGGACTTAATTTTTTAAAAGTTGTTTTTAAGTGGAAAATGTGTTCAAATGCTTGAATTATAGTTTTATAGTGAAAATATGAAAATATTATAAAACTTATATTCAGGAGGGTGGACTTAATTTTTGTAAAAGTTTTTTAGGAGGAAATATGTTCAAATGCATGAATTAGTTATTTGGTGAAAATATGGAAATATGATAACATTCATTTTGGGGATTGGAATCCCTACTTTAGTAAAAGTTGTTTTAAAGTGGAAAATGTGTTCAAATTGAATTATAGTTTTATAGTGAAAATATGAAAATATTATAAAACTTATATTCAGGAGGGTGGACTTAATTTTTGTAAAAGTTGTTTTTAAGTGGAAAATGTGTTCAAATGCATGAATTAGTCTGTTGGTAAAAATATGGAAATATGATAACATTCATTTTCAGGGGATTGGAATCCCTACTTTAGTAAAAGTTGTTTTTAATGCTTCTTTTTATTGTGCAAAATGTGTTCAAATGCATGAAGAATTATAGTCTTTTGATTAAAATATGGAAATATGATTAAATTCGTTTTCAGAATTGTTGGAATCCCTGTTTTTGTAAAAGCTGTTTTTTAAGTGGAAAATATGTTGAAATGCATTAATTATAATTTTATGGTGAAAATATGAAAATATTATAACTTAATAGTGAAAATATGAAAACATTATAAAACTTATATTCAGGAGGGGGGGTGGACTTATTTTTTTGTAAAAAATTTTTTTTTAAGAGGAAATTATGTTCAAATGCAAGAATTAGTCATTTGGTGAAAATATGGAAATATGATAACATTCATTTTCAGGGATTGGAATCCCTTTTAGTAAAAGTTGTTTTAAAGTGGAAAATGTGTTTAAATGCTTGAATTATAACATTTTGATAAAATAATGCAAATAAGACTAAATTCATTTTCACTAGGGAGAGAATCCTATTTTTAACTTAATAGTGAAAATATGAAAACATTATAAAACTTATATTCAGGAGGGTGGACTTATTTTTGTAAAAATTTTTTTAAGAGGAAATTATGTTCAAATGCATGAATTAGTCATTTGGTGAAAATATGGAAATATGATAACATTCATTTTCAGGGGATTGGAATCCCTACTTTAGTAAAAGTTGTTTTTAAGTGGAAAATGTGTTTAAATGCTTGAATTATAACATTTTGATAAAATAATGCAAATATGACTAAATTCATTTTCAGTAGGGGAGGAATCCCTATTTTTAACTTAATAGTGAAAATATGAAAACATTATAAAACTTATATTCAGGAGGGGGGGCGGACTTATTTTTTTGTAAAACTTTTTTTAAGAGGAAATTATGTTCAAATGCATGAATTAGTCATTTGGTGAAAATATGGAGATATGATAACATTCATTTTCAGGGGATTGGAATCCCTACTTTAGTAAAAGTTGTTTTAATGCTTCTTTTATTGTGCAAAATGTGTTCAAATGCATGAAGAATTATAGTCTTTGATTAAAATATGGAAATATGATTAAATTCGTTTTCAGAATTGTTGGAATCCCTGTTTTGGTAAAAGCTGTTTTTTAAGTGGAAAATGTGTTGAAA